GAACATCCCATAAATATCCTTCCTGAACGCCGTCAAGTTCGCCTCCTCCACTGGGTCAGTCCTTCATGAATTCAGAACAGAACCCTACCTTCATCAGATGTCTCCCAGCCACCACACTGTTGTACTTCCTTTTACTTTTCAAATAAAATGTATACCTTTCTACATCCCTTGTGCTACCTTAATGCCTTGTCATCTGATTTCCACCTCCTAAATTTTTCACAATAGAAACCATCAGACAGCGGCTGGCGCTGTGGCATAGCGGGTATAGCCGCCGCCTCCAGTGCCTGCATCCCATATGGGCGCCAGTTTGAGTCCTGGCTGCTCCACTTCCAATCCCTGGGAAAGCAGTAGAAGATGGCCCAAGTCCCTGGGCCCCTGTACCCGCGTGGGAGACCCGGAAGAAGCTCCTGGCTCCTGGTTTCGGATCGGTGCAGCTCCGGCCCTTGTGGTCAATTGGGGGAGTGAACCAACGGATGGAGGACCTCTCTCTCTCTCTGCCTCTCCTTCTCTCTCTGTGTAACTCAAATAAATAAAAAAAAAAAAGAAAAAAGAAACCATCAGACAAATGTAATAGCCTCTTCTCAAGCTCTGTCCTTTGCCACGTTTGAGACCTTTGGTTTCTACTGGCTGCTAGAAACACTGTACTGTTCTTCCCAGAAGTTTCTCCACTTCATTTGCTTTTTCCCTCCTCCTGTAGAATTCAACCAAAACATTTATTCTCTCAATTTCTTAAAAAAAGGAGATTTAGGCCGGCGCCGCAGCTCACTAGGCTAATCCTCCGCCTAGTGGCGCCGGCACACTGGGTTCTAGTCCCGGTCGGGGCGCCGGATTCTGTCCTGGTTGCCCCTCTTCCAGGCCAGCCCTCTGCTGTGGCCCGGGAGTGCAGTGGAGGATGGCCCAGGTGCTTGGGCCCTGCACCCCATGGGAGACCAGGAAAAGCACCTGGCTCCTGGCTCCTGCCATCGGATCAGCGCTGTGCGCTGGCCGCAGCGCGCTGGCTGCAGCGGCCATTGGAGGGTGAACCAACGGCAAAGGAAGACCTTTCTCTCTGTCTCTCTCTCTCACTGTCCACTCTGCCTGTCAAAAAAAAAAAAAAAAAAAAAAGGAGATTTATTTTTATTTATTTGAAAGGCAGAGTGGCAGACACAGATTTTTTTTTTTTTTTTTTTTGACAGGCAGAGTGGACAGTGAGAGAGAGGGACAGAGAGAAAGGTCTTCCTTTGCCGTTGGTTCACCCTCCAATGGCCGCCGCGGCCAGCACGCTGTGGCCGGTGCACCGCGCTGATCCGATGGCAGGAGCCAGGAGCCAGGTGCTTTTCCTGGTCTCCCATGGGGTGCAGGGCCCAAGCACCTGGGCCATCCTCCACTGCACTCCCTGGCCACAGCAGAGAGCTGGCCTGGAAGAGGGGCAACCGGGACAGAATCCGGCGCCCTGACCGGGACTAGAACCCGGTGTGCTGGCGCCGCTAGGCGGAGGATTAGCCTAGTTAGCCACGGCGCCGGCCTAGACACAGATATTTTCTAACTGGTTTACTATCCCAAATGCCAAGACATCCAGGGCTGGGCCAGGCTGAAGCCAGGAGCCAGGAACTCTATCTGGGCGTCCCATGTGGACAACAGGGACCCAAGGACTGGGGCCGTCTTCTGTTGCTTTCCCGGGCCATAACAGCAAGCTGGGTTGGAAGCAAGCAGTGGGACTTGAAACCTGCTCTGATACGAGATGCTGGTGTCACAGGTGGCAGCCTAACCTGATGGGCCACATTTGAGATTGCCCTCTCAACTCCCTCTGGTTTCCCACCTTAAAAATTATCTCACATTTTTTCTCCTAGGCCCCTCATCTTAATTCCTGTCTCTGTTAACAGTGACCTTCAAGGTGCCCTAGTTTAGTCACACCTCAATCCACCTTACGCTCGTGTGATTACTCTAAAACACTGCTGTCATATTAGTCCCTGTACAGAAACCTCACTTTCCCAACGATCAAAAACAAGCTCGTGTTACCAAAGTACTCTGCCTAAGTCACAGGTAAATTATTTGAGAAGCAGGGACAGAGTGCTCCCCACACTGATTCACCCCCCAAGTGCTCACACTGATCAGGACTAGGCCAGGCAGAAGCCAGGAACTCAATCCAGGTTTCTCCCACATGGGTGGCAGGGACCCGACTGCCTAGCCATCACCTACCTGTTGCCACCCAGGGTATGCATTAGCAGGAAGCTGGAAGATGGAGCTGTGGCCCAGAATCAAACCTAGGGCCTGTGATATAGGATGTGTCTCAGTTGGAGTCTTTTTTTATTTTTTTAAAGATTTATTTTATTGGCCGGCTCCGCGGCTCACTAGGCTTATCCTCCGCCTTGCGGCGCCGGCACACCGGGTTCTAGTCCCGGCCGGGGCGCCAGATTCTGTCCTGGTTGCCCCTCTTCCAGTCCAGCTCTCTGTTGTGGCCCAGGAGTGTGGTGGAGGATGGCTCAGGTCCTTGGGCCCTAGCACTTGCATGGGAGATCAGGAGGAAGCTCCTGGCTTCAGATCGGCGCAGCGTGCCGGCTGTAGCAGCCAGTTGGGGGGTGAACCAATGTAAAACGGAAGACCTTTCTCTCTGTCTCTAACTCTGCCCGTCCGGGGGGGGGGGGGGGAAGGCAGCCACAGACAATACATAAAAAAATGTATATGACTGTGTTCCAGTAATTGTTTTTAAACAAAAGCAGGCCGGTGCCGCGGCTCACTAGGCTAATCCTCTGCCTTGCGGCGCCGGCACACCGGGTTCTAGTCCCGGTCGGGGCGCCGGATTCTGTCCCGGTTGCCCCTCTTCCAGTCCAGCTCTCTGCTGTGGCCAGGGAGTGCAGTGGAGGATGGCCCAAGTCCTTGGGCCCTGCACCCCATGGGAGACCAGAAATACCTGGCTCCTGCCATCGGATCAGCGCGGTGCGCAGGCCGCAGCGCGTCTGCCTCGGCGGCCATTGGAGGGTGAACCAACGGCAAAAGAAGACCTTTCTCCCTGTCTCTCTCACTGTCCACTCTGCCTGTCAAAGAAAAAAAAAAAAAAAGCAGGCAGCTGGGGCCAGTTTTGTGGTATAGCAGGTAAAGCCACTGCCTGCGACCCCAGCATCCTGTACAGGCACCAGTTCAAATCCCAGCCTCTCCACTTCTGATCCAGCTCCCTACTAATGTGGCTGGGAAAGCAGTGGAAGATCACCCAAGTGCTTGGGCCTCTGCATACACTTGGGAGACCCAGAAGCAGCTTCTGGCTCCTGGCTTCAGATGGGCCCAGCTATGGCCATTGCAGCCATTTGTAGAGTGAATCAGTGGATGTATCTCCCTCTCTGTAATTATGCCTTTCAAATAAATCAATCTTAAACAGCAAGTGGGTCACAAGCTGTAGTTTGCTGACCTCTGCTCTAGAACACGTAACACTTCTGAAAGCCTCTTGATGCCCATCAGAACCAGTGGTCCTATATTTCTCTGCTCTTATATTGCTGGTAAATCTCCTTAGCGTATCTAATATACCTTCTTATACAATCATCTCCATCAAGGAGTAAGTTCTATGAAGGTAGGTGACATTCTGCTACACAAAGTTCCCCAAATCCCCACCCTCGTGGGCACCTTGTAGGCTCCACATTCAATGGGTATTGGTTCCCCCAAACCAAATCTATCCTGAAAGGAAGACTTGGCACATTCATGACATGCAGGAGGAATGAGCAGCGGTGGATGTATGTCTAGCATACCAGACACGGCATCCAGTATCACAGTGCTAGGGTTCAATACCCAGCTCCAGCTCCTGACTTGAACTTCTGCTGAGGCAGGCCCTGGGAGGCAGCTGTGATGGCTCAAGTAGTTGGGTTCCTCCACTCATGTGGGAGGATCCTGGCTTCAGCCTCAGCCTAGCCCTGGTCATCACAGGTATTTAGACAAGTAAACCAGAGGATGTAGACTCTCTTGGTGTGTCTCAAATTTAAAAAAAAGAGAAAGAAAACAAGCAGCAGATTCTGAAAGTAGTTCTGAAGGAGTATCACGGGACCAGAGTCCTGGTATCACTAGGATACACACATGGTTCTTCTGTCCTACACCAGGGTGTGCTTATTATTTTACAATCATGCCTTGTGTGCGTGCAGGGATGCCTTTGTTTTCCCCAACCCACTAGAGAATAAAGAACTGAGATTTCCCATTAGGTGCATGATAAATATTCAACAAATGTAAAATAGTTCTGAGGGAGGGGAAGGAAATTTCCTTTTTCCCATGATAGGAAGGTGATAGCAGATGCTCACAGGGTCTTCTCCAGGTCTGACAAAACACATCAGGTCTCAGCTGCCCTTCTCACATAACTTTCTTGGTTAGGAAACACTGGGGGGGCCTGGAAGGCTCCTTGTTTGCTGTGGATTCCAAATCCCCACACAAAAGTACTTGTGGGACAGAGGAAACGGTGCATGTAGAAGGTATCTCCCAGGGGCCAGCACTGTGGTATACTGCATTGAGCCTCTGCCCGTGGTACCAGCATCCCAGATGGGTGCTGGTTTGAGTCCTGGCTGCTCCACTTCTGATCCAGCTCCCTGCTGATGGCCTGGGACGGCAGTGGAGGGTGGACTGGGTACCTGCACACTGGCTCCTGGCTTTGGATCGGTGCAGCTACGCTGTTGCGGCCATTTGGGGAGTTAACCAGCGGGTGGAAGACTTCTCTGTCTCTCCCTAATAAATAAATAAATCTTACCAAAAAAAAGTTTTTCTAAACCCAGGAGCACTTAGGGAAGACATGGAGTTTGGGGTAAAGGCAATCCCAGGAAATAACACAATTCAGATCACTGCTAAGCAGGTTCTGGCTGCTCCAGAACAGGAGGCAGGAGGGAAGAAGAGAGGAGGGCGCATCGTCCCAGGCTGCTCCTAAAACAGAGGGAGCACTAAGGAAAGGGTAGGTTACAAAGCAGGAACCAAGGACGGGGAATTGAAGCGACAGGCCAAGGTGGAGAGGAAACTCTCTTAACAGGGCAAGAGAAGGAGCAATGCTGAATGAAGAATTTAGAGCTGAGTAAAAGGTTTATTAGTGCAGTCAACACCATGGAACAGCACATACAAGACAACCAGCAAACTGCAGGACACTGGTGCGAGAGGAGGGAGGGAAGCCTGGACAGAGCTTCCTGGCTCCGTTGGAGGGCGACAGCAGGAGTATGGGCCTAGGGGAGGAAGGCAGGGGCAAAGGGGGATGGAAGAAATGTAGTAACCAGGCTAGTTTAGCAGCGTTTCCAAATTCCTGAGCACGGTGTCCTGGAGCTGGAACACCTGACTGTTCTCTACTCCCCTCAAGCTGTATCCCTCTACCCCGGTCCCAGTGGAGTCATGATCCAACTACCCAGACCCACGGTGAGCTGGCCTGGAATAAGACTCCCAAAAGAGCGGCCATTATATGATGGGGAGGATCCTTTCACTCTCTCCAGACCCACACCCACCTGCATATCAAAACAATTGAACCTACTGCCCCATCTGGACTCTGCCAGTCACCCCAGGGATCCAGGAATGCCCCAGGTGGCCTGCGATGGTCCTTTGTGGGGCACAGGTGAAGCAGAACACAGTGCTTACTTACAGACATAAACATAATTTCTACCCCATTTTCCCGGCAAAGCTTAGAAGTCAGTTACATAGCTCTGAGGAAGCTGCCTTCAAAATTAATACTCTAAATCCAGTTCTACAGTGAGACCCTGGAAGGGTCAGGAACAGATTTCTCCAGAGGGCACAGGCATCGCTGCAGGCAGTCGTGTCCCTCGTGGGAGTAGAGGAAGCTCCTCAGTTCAGATGTGCTCTGAGGACTGGCGGTGACCAACCAAGGACTCCCTTGGCTCTTTCCTAGATAAAGCCGAAGGCTGTGCTGAAAAGGCAAAGTATCGAGGAGATCCCATCCCTTTCCCACCCTGTCCAGGCTCCCCACAACAGGAACAGCAAAAGAAGTTTCAAGTTTTGTTGATTTTTTTTTCTTTTTTCCTTTCTTAAAAAAAAAAAAAAAAGTAAATAAATTAAATTGCCAACAATGTGGCTGGGCTAGAAAGTAGGGTAGCCATGACCAGGCCATTCTAAAAAAAAAAAAAAAAAAAAAGAAAGAAAGAAAGAAAGAAGGTAGGGCGCACAGGTGAGGTTTGTGAAATATAAACAAACAATGGCCAAAGGGAATTATCAAAATAACTAACTATACTCACGGGGCTGGAGAGGGTCTATGGAACAATGATGGCCCACGCCACGAGGCGCAGTGCCAGAGAACAGCTTCAAGCTGAGCATACAAGTCCCGACATATCAACCCCGACCCCCAATCCTGTCATTCCCTAATTACGAGAAAGTGTGGGAAAGAAGAGCTCATCTGGAAATGTTTAGCATTCCAATCTGCACACCTGCAGACCCAGCAGGAGCTGCACCTTTAACATGGGCTGGGTAGGGTGCGCTTGGCACGGAGGTCCAGTCTTCCCCTCGGGGCCATCAGCGAGGGCCAGTCACTGGCCTGTTTATTCCCAGGGCTTCTGTTCCATGCTCACCCTTCTTCAGAATGTCTGCTCCCCAGAGCTGCTCTCTAAGTGCTGCTCAGAGACAACAGGCCTGCCTGCTCCGATTCCACTTGGGAGGAGAGGGACAATTACACACTTCTCTCTACTTGATCCTCTAGGGAAGATGAATCTGAATCTCTTTGTGCTTTCAGAAAATATCAGGAACCATGGCCCCTAGGCAGAACGGAGGCGGGAGCTTTCCCACCCAGACTGAGGACTTCCGGACATTTTGGGGGGAGCAATATGGCAAAAGGAGGGAATCTGGGTTTCCCACCTGAAAGACTGAGCAAAGTGCCCCAGGGCCCTTCAGTGCCAGAAGAGCGGGGAGAGGTGTGGCCCAAGTGTCAGCCTCAGCATTAAGGACGGTGGGGAGGACTGGGGGCCCAGCTGCGGGAGCGATGGATTTTCTGATTTCCATCTCTTCCTGATAGCCCAGCAAGTTCTCTAGATCTCCTCCACACCATGTGCAAATATCATGACAAGCCCCGGCTCCTGCACCATGTCATCACCCATATGCTGGTTCTCACAGGCCATCACCACCACGGCCTGCTTGCCAGGGATACGCTTGGCCACGTAGTTCTCATAGTAGCGCCGGTTCATCTGTCTTGTCTCTAGTGTAGCCAGACCCTGGGGCCAGCTGCGCTCGTGGGCATTTTCAATCAGCTCGTTGACAATAGAAGCAGGGCAGCCACTTTCCACCAGGGAGCGCTTGATCACCGCCTGGAGCACAGCATCCGGGGTAGAAATCATCCCTCCCCAGCGGGTCACTCTTGCTGGCTGCAGGGAGTTCACCCACCTGTGTGGAGGGGTGGAGGCAGTCACTCCAGATCATCTGCTTTTTCTACCTTGGCTCTTTCTCCCGACAGGAGGGATCTCCCACTGCAGTCAGCCTGACTCGATTCTTCCATCTTTCCTTCCATCATTGGCTCAGAAACCCCGAATCTTTCCCCTAGTTGGTCCCATGTGAGTTACCACATTACAATAAATGCCTGAGCCTATATTCTTCCTACTGTTTTCCTTTGACATTCCAGTTCTTAGCACACATGGCACATAGTAAGCGCTCAACAGAGGTTTCCTGAGTGAAGCAATTACTCCTCTGCATTGGATCCCACTCGACACTAACTGTCCCATACATGGTAATTCACACTCCAGGTCAGTCTCTGTGTGTACAGGACTCCAGAACTGACAGGGACCTTGGACTTTACTGTTTGCTTTGCTTGTTTACGCTGATTTTAGATCCCTTTCCTGGACTGCCACTCTGCCTTCTCAGCTCTGGGTCACAAGCTACCTGAAGATAAGGACAGTGTCTACTATTTCTGCTTGGCCCTCCTAGCCCTCGATAGCCTTTCATACGGGGCTTCATGAGGGTGGGTACTCAGCTACTTCCAGATAAACTCCATCCTTGGGCAGACCCCCTTCCATCCACCCAAATGAATCAGAATCCTGCACTGGAGCTCAGGGCTATCGTCCTCTCCTCTGTCCCTGTCCTTCATCCCAACACCCGATCAGTGGTGGCCCCAGCCCGGCTCCCTTACTGCCATTTCCTGGCTGGGGTGTGACACTCACTCTAGGATCTCATTGTATTCAATTGTCTCCTCCAGGTTCTGAAGGTTGGGGTTGACACTGCGGATGGCACGCATGTATGCCTTTAGCAGCTGGATGTCTCGCTTCTGTTGGAGGCAAGAAGAACCAAGGATGATCGTTACGGCAGACAACAGGTAAAAGAGAAAAGTTTCTCTGAGTTATGAGAGCAATTCAGAGATATGAGAACAACCAAACGAGAAGCTTCAGCAAGATGAGGACAGGACTCACAGCAGTCTCAACACCTGGCAAGGTGCCTTCACGGAGACGGCACTCAATGAACCTAAGAACGAATGCACGATTGGAGGAAGGGAGGCAAGGGGAGCTCCATTCGGATTCCCTGCTGAGCTGCAGTGTCTGTCCGCTCACCCAGCTCACAGCACAGGCCCTTGTGTTCGTGAATGGGGCTTGCTGCTCCCAGGCAGGTAGTCACGTGCACGTGAAGGACATGTTGCCCCCCCCTTCTCAGAACCCTACCTGCTCTGCCAGCTGGTGTTTGTGTTCAGCTGAAGTCTTCTCCAGCTCGGCGATGCGTGTCTGTTGCTGCTGGACCACGGTGCGCAGGTGCTTAATGCAATTGTGGTTTGGCAGCTCATCTTTGGGCATCTCCAAGCTGCGGCCCAGGTGGGGAAAGAGCATAACAGGTGCAGTCAGTGGGCTGTGTGGCCAAATGGTCTATCCTGCAGCCCAGGATTGCTGAGTGGCCCTTGCCTACCGCAGGGGTCTAGCATTTCTGTCAGGCTGCCTTCACATGCTTCTCCCAGTGCTTCCTGTCTCCTGGCTCGTTTGCTGTCTACTTTCTGTGAACTTTCCTCCTCCAGGACCTGGTGGGTTTTATTTTCTTACATGTTTTTCTTTTCCTTTTCTTCTTCTTCTTCTTCTTCTTTTTTTTTTTTTTTTTTACAGGCAGAGTGGATAGTGAGAGAGACAGAAAGAAAGGTCTTCCTTTAGCCGTTGGTTCACCCTCTAATGGCCGCCACGGCTGGCGCACCGCGCCGATCCGAAGGCAGGAGCCAGGTGCTTCTCCTGGTCTCCCATGGGGTGCAGGGCCCAAGAACTTGGGCCATCCTCCACTGCACTCCCAGGCCACAGCAGAGAGCTGGCCTGGAAGAGGGGCAACTGGGAAAGAATCCAGAGCCCCAACCAGGACTAGAACCCGGTGTGCCGGCGCCGCTAGGTGGAGGATTAGCCTATTGAGCCACGGCGCTGGCCTCCTTTTCTTCTTTATTCCCCTTGAATTGTCCTCTCATGCCCATTCGAGCCAGCCCCTTTCTTAAGACGGCCTCCTACTCTGAGAGGGACGGCGCCGTGTGTCCTGCCAGACCTGAGCATGTGTAGCAGAAGGGCAGGCCACGGTGTTTGAGCTACCACCCAGCTCTCTTCTTCCCCTACAGATTCTGCCTACCCACTTATTCCTTCTGAGAAGCCCCAGCTATCAGCAGTTTATCAAATATTTCACACCCCACAGAAAGAAAAAATAGGGCAAAAGGAAATAAGAGAAGGCCAACCTGACACAGAGAAAGTACTGGAATAAAAGGAAAGAATAAAGTGGATCCACCTTCAGTGCTATCGCACAGACTGCTGAATTTCTATCCCCTTTTATTAAAGCAACAGCAAAAACATAGTTGAGAAGCGCAGTGAGAGAGTAAGACCTGGGGCAGGGAGCCAGGGAGGCCAAGAGTGCTGTTTGCATGCACTGGTAAGCAGGGAACCCAGAGACAGAGGTGCAGGCAGGAAGGCCCTTATCCGCTTGGGACACAGGGGAAGGAATCTCACCCGCAGCCCTGTTCACAGGTCACAGGCCGCTTCGGGTTGTGCTCACAGTCGCTGAGGTGAGACATGAGGTTGTCAAGCCGGACAACAGCACTGCAGCCAAACACAGCGTTGTCACAGGCAATCTGCAGCTTTGACAACATGTTCCGCATGATCCGAGGTACTGGGCGCAGGTGGGCGACCGTCACAACGCTACGGTCCACCGGACACGTCTGCTGCTGAGAGAACCACTGGGTGATGCAGGCGTTGCAGAAAGCATGTTCGCAATGAGGCGCCTGGAAGGGAGCACAGGAATCAGCAGGGCTAAGAGCTGCCGTCTGGGCCTCTCAACAGCTACTGCGGTCACAGCCCCCTGGGGGTCACAGAGGTCTACTGTGGCCAAGGCATTGTGGGGCACAGGCTTAAAATGTTTCCTGTGCTCAAGATTGCAAATAGGTTGTATAAAACAAGACAAAGGAGTGAGAAGTTATATAACAATCACAGCTATAAATAACATCCCAGGACAATAGGAGAGATGACATAAGGCGACCGATTACTAATTATCACCTGGATTGCACACACAATAAATTGCTCAACAAGTCCAGAGGAGGGAAGATCTTTCCAGGCTAGGTCAATCACAGCAGGTTTTTATTTGTCAAGGACAGAAGTTGACACAGGTCTTGAAGGCCGGTTCAGACTACATATGTAGAAAGGACAGGAACAGAGATTTACTGGCAAAAGTTCAATATAAGAAACCAAAAGTTTACAAAAGCCTGGGACCCTGTTGAGAAGGCTGACCTAAGGTGCTGCCCAGAGTCCAAGCAGCCATGCTTACAGAGTGGAAACTGTAACAGGCCTCGGTTGTTTGTGGAATCACATTCTTTCAGTGTCACAAAGACCACCTTTAAGCCTACTTCTCTGAGAAGCAACTCTGAAATGGGCCCCTTGGGTGAGAAGACTCCCTGGCTTCAATGCAGACAAGATTTGGCATCTAGCATGGGACATAGGAGGAACTTGGATGGTGTAAATGAATGGCGCCAGTGCCTACTATGAGCCCAACACACTGTGAGGAGCTTAAGATTTATGAAAAAGAGGGACTGGTATTGTGGCATAGATGGTAAAACTGCCACATGTGATGCTGGTGCATATGTGATGCTGGCATCCCATATGGGTGCTGGTTCATGTCCTGGCTGCTCCACTTCTGATCCAGCTTCCTGCTAATGGCCTGGGAAATGCAGTGGAAGATGGCCCAAGTACTGCCACCCATGTGAGAGACTGGATAGAGAGCTCTAGTCTCTTGGCTTCAGCCTGGCCCAGCCCTGGCCATTACAGCCATCAGGAGAGTGAAAAAGCAGGTAGAAGATCTTTCCCTGTCTCTCTGTAACTTTCTTTTTCTTTTTTGACAGGCAGAGTGGACAGTGAGAGAGAGAGACAGAGAGAAAGGCCTTCCTTTTGCCATTGGTTCACCCTCCAATGGCCGCCACGGCCGGTGCGCTACGGCCGGTGCACCACGCTGATCCAATGGCAGGAGCCAGGCACTTATCCTGGTCTCCCATGGGGTGCAGGGCCCAAGAACTTGGGCCATCCTCCACTGTACTTCCCTGGCCACAGCAGAGAGCTGGCCTGGAAGAGGGGCAACCGGGACAGAATCCGGCGCCCTGACCAGGACTAGAACCTGGTGTGCCAGCGCCACAGGTGGAGGATTAGCCTAGTGAGCCACGACGCCAGCTGTAACTTTCTTTTTATTTAAAAATTTATTTATTTATTTGAAAGGCAGAGTTACGGAGAGGAAGGGGGTAGGGGGAGGGAGGGTCTTCCATCTGCTGGTTTACTCTCCAGATGGCCACAATGGCTGGAGCTGTACCAATCCGAAGCCAGGAGCCAGGAGCTTCTTCAGGGTCTCCCATGCGGGTGCAGGGGCCCAAGGACTTGGCCATCTTCCACTGCTTTCTCAGGCCATAGCAGAGAGCTGGATCGGAAGTGGAGGAGCTGGGACTTGAAATGGAGCCCATATGGGATGCCAGCACTGCAGGCAGCGGCTTTACCCGCTATGCCACAGTGCGGGCCCCTCTCCTGTAACTCTTTCAAATAAACAAACAAAAACCTTAGAAAAAAAAGATTTAAAAAAAGAAGAAGCTTCCGTCCTCAAGATGAACACCAAGACTGAAACACCAGAAGGCTTTGTAAGGAAAGAAATCATTCTCAATATTGTTAATCTAACTGCCAGTAAGTTTTTATTTTATTTTTTATTCAAAGACATCCTTAATTCTTTTCAAAGTCTTTCAGATCTTATCATCTTGCTCCCTTCCAAAAAAAATCCTGAATCTGCCCACCCCTCTCCTTCTCTGTAGTTAATGCAGGTCAAGCCTCCCATCACCTCTCACCTGAATTACTAAATAAGTCTTCTAGTTGATTGCCCAACTTCTACCTCACCCCATTATAATCTACTGTACATTGAGCAGCCAAGGTGATCATTTAGAAATACAAACCATACTGTATCACTTGCCTGCTTCAAACATTACAATGTTTCCCACTGTACCTGAAATAAATCCAAACTCCTACTTAGGACCATGAAACTCTACCTGATCTGGCCCTGTGCCTCTGACCTTGCCTCATCTCACACCACGCTCCTAGTAGTGTTTAGGCCATTTTGGCTTGCTTGCTTCTTTTAAAGAAAGTATTTTTATTTTTATTTATTTATTTATTTATTTTTGACAGGCAGAGTGGACAGTGAGAGAGAGAGACAGAGAGAAAGGTCTTCCTTTGCCGTTGGTTCACCCTCCAATGGCCGCCGCGGCCGGCGCACCGCGCTGATCCGATGGCAGGAGCCAGGAGCCAGGTGCTTTTCCTGGTCTCCCATGGGGTGCAGGGCCCAAGGACTTGGGCCATCCTCCACTGCACTCCCTGGCCACAGCAGAGGGCTGGCCTGGAAGAGGGGCAACCGGGACAGAATCCGGCACCCCGACCGGGACTAGAACCCGGTGTGCCAGCGCCGCTAGGCGGAGGATTAGCCTAGTGAGCCGCGGCACCAGCCGAAAGTATTTTTATTTTAAAAATTTGTTTTATTTGAAAGGCAGAGTTACAGGAAAAGAGAGAGACAAAAGGAGAGATTTTCCCATCTGCTGGTCCACTCCCCAGACGGCCATAGTGGCCGGAGCTCTGCCAGTCCAAAGGCAGGAGCCAGCAGGTTCTTCTGAGTCTCCCAAGTTAGTGCAGGAGCCCAAGCACTTGGGCCATCTTCTGCTGCTTTCCCAGGTACATTAGCAGGGAGCTCGATAGGAAATGGAGCAGCCAGGAATCAAACCAGCAACCATATGGGATGCTAGTGCTGCAGGCGGAGGCTTAACCTGCTACGCCACAACACCAGTCCCTTTGCTTGCTTTCTGTTCATCACATCCAGCTCATTCTTGTCTCAGGATCTTTGCTTGTCTAAGTTAATGTTCTTCCTCGGAATTTTTTTTTTTTTTTTTTTTAAGATTTACTTAGTTATTTGAAAGAGAGAAAGAGGGAGAAGCAGAGAGGAAGATCTTGCATCTACTGGTTTACTTCCCAGATGGCTGCAACAGCTGGGATTGGGGCAGGCCAAAACCAGGAGCTTCATCTGTTGGTTGCAGGAACCCAAACACTTGGGCCATCTTCTGCTGCTTTTCCACAGCCATTAGCAGGGAGCTGGATCAGATGGGGAGCAGCCAGAATGTGAACCAGTGCCCATATGAGATATGAGCATCTCAGGTAACGTCTGTGCTACAACAACTGGCCCCATTCCTCTAGCTCTCTCTTTTGTGGGGTGGGCCTTTACAGAGGATCCTTGTCTTGGCTTTCGTCTGGCCCAGCTCTAGCCATCATAGCCATTTGGGGGGTGAACCAGCAGATGGAAGATCTCTCTGTCTCTCTGTAACTCTTTCAAATAAAATAAATAAATTTTAGAAAAAAAAAAAGCTGCTACCTGGGACACCTGCATCCCAATATCAGAGTGCTTGGGTTGAATCCCAGCTCCACTTCTGATTCCAGCTTCCTATTAGTGCACAGCCTGAAAGGCAGCAGGTAATGGCTCCAGTATTTGGGTCCTTGCTGTCCAAGTTAGAGACCTAGATTGAGTTCTCAACTCCTGGCTTCAGCTTGGTCCAGCCCTGGTTGTTACGAGCATTTGGGAAATGAACCAGTGGACAGAACATCTCTGTCTGTTTCTGTCTTTCAAATAAATAAAAATAATTTTCTTACAGGTTAACTTTTATATAAGAAAAGTGGACCCTTCCCAATATATTAAAATAGTATCTCTATATACTTTTTTTAAAGAAATTTTTTTTTAAGATTTATTTTATTTATTTGAAAAGAGTTACAGAGAGAGGTAAAAAGAGAAGCAGGAGTCTCCCACCCATTGATTCACTCCCCAAATGGCCACAACAGCCGGAACTGAGCTGATCTGAAGCCAGGAGCTCCTTCCGGGTCTCCCACGTGGGTGCAGGGGCCCAGGGACTTGGCCCATCCTCTGCTGCTTTCTCAGGCACATTAGCAGAGAGCTGGATGGGAAGTGGAGCAGCCAGGACTCGCACCAGCATCCATATGGGATGTTGGCATTGCAGACCAGGGCTTTAACCCACTCAGCACAGCCCTGGCCCTTATTTATGCTTTAATAGTCTAGATATATACCAGAAGAATACAAAATGATGGTTCTCACTGTATAGCTTTTTATGTTATTTTGATTTCTGATCTATATAAATATATTACCTATTCAGAAAATAATTATGATAGGGGTAAATCAGTACTCATAGCAGGGGCCTGGTAACCTGGCAACATGAATGTGGCCTGGTCTGCTCCTCAGATGGTAAACCCTGAGTGACTCACCTTAAATGACAGTACCAGAATACAGACAAGGGCCTGCCAGGATGAGTAGCCAACCTGACACACCCCACAACCTCTCGACACCCTGGGAGAGTTTGCTCTACTCTCATCAATATGCCTTTTGTGGTGGGAGGCTGCACAGACCTAGAAAGGGTCCAGAGGCTAGTGCAGTGGTGCAGTGGGTTAAGCCATGGTCTGTGGCACCAGCATCCCACATGGGCACCAGTTTGTGTCCCGGCTATTCCACTTCCGATCCATCTCCCTGCTAATGGCATGAGAAAGCAGTAGAGGATGGCCCGAGTCCTTGGGCCCTTGCACCCATGTGGGAGACCAGGAATAAGCTCCTGACTCCTAGTGTCTGCCTGGCCAGCCTGTCACTGTGGCCATCTGGGGAGAGAACCAGCAGATGGAAGATTCTCTGGCTCGCCTTGTCTCTTTCTCTGTAACTCTGCCTTTCAACTAAATAAATCTTTAAATGCAGCCTGAATTTTATTCAGCTCAAATGTCTGTGCTTCTTTGGGTGGTTGGAAACAAGAAAGAAAGGATAAACCCAGAGGCTTAAGGGGAGCCCCTGGGAGTTACATAAGCAATGAATGGGGGAAGGGACGTAAGACACCATTTACTGGTGTCCTGGTTTAGAAAATAGGATCATCACTAGCTGGCTAGGAGTGGCAGAGATCAAGCAGCACTCACAGACGAGGGCAGTGAGGACCCTCCAGGACGCCATGTAAAGGATACATCTTACTCACTGTACTGCGTGGCAGCTGTGAGGCTTCCTTACACTGCCCAGGAAGACATGGCTACCTCAGGTCTGACAAGGCTGGCTGAGGGACACTTATAAAGGTGCCAGCTGTCATAGGAAAATGCAGAGTTCTCGACTGCATCACAAGCTGGTCTTGTCAACAGATCCCAGGGAAAATGGTATATACACTTCCCCACTCCCTATCAGGCAGTAGGCAGGCTAAATGCACCTGCAGGGAGTCTGGCTGATGACCTGAAGCACTGCAGAGAGAACTTACCTGGAAAGTGCAGAAGTTAAATCACAGGCAGGAAGATGGAGCCCAGAGTTCCCACAGAGGAAAGGAAGCCACCAAGATACTGTCAGAAGCTGGAAACAAGTAGCTGACCATTTGACAGCAGAAAAACCCCAAGGTGACCTAGAAGACCATCTGAACCACTCACTGGACCTGTGTGGTATCCACCTTGAGATGGACTCTGCAAGGCCCTACCCTGTGGCTACCACTGTTCCTCTGTTCCAAACCTCCACTGGGGCAGGAGAGTAGAGGCAGGATACAGTGACTTCCCAGGGGTCCCAATCCCTATGAACAGGCTCCACCGCCTGTCATCCCACTAAAGTTGTCATCAGACCAACTCACCTGTACTGGCTCCTCCAAGACTCCACTGCAGATAGGACAGATAAGGTCTTCGTCAACATCCCCCTGGAAACGAGTTACATCATACCCCATGTCTCATCACTGAAACCCAGGTCCTGGGAGGAAAAACAGGAAAAAGAGCAGTTCAGAACCACGGTATGTAGGGTAAACATGAACTCACTGCCAAGATTTTTTTGTTGTTGCTAAGATTTTATTTGTTTGAAAAGTAGAATGACAGATAAAGAGGAGGAGACGAGAAAGAGATCTTCCATCTGCTGGGTCACTCCCTAAAGGGCCAAAATGGCTGTAGCTGGGCCAGGGCAAAGCTAGGAGCCAGAACTCTATCCAGGTCTTCCACGTGGGTGGCACAAGCACAAGTACTCAGGCCATCTTCTGCTGCTTTCCCAGGCATTAGCAGGAAGATGGGTCTGAAGCAGAGCAGCCAGGACTCAATCTGGCACTCCTAAACAGGATGCCTACATTATAGGCGGTGCCCTAACCTGCAGTTAAGATAACCTGCAGTGGCTTAACTTAGACAATGCGAGGCCCCCATTAATTTTTTTTTAAAAGACTTATTTATTATATTTGAAAGGCAGAGTTGTGTGTGGGGGGAGACAGTCAGAGACAGAGAGAGATAGAGGTCCCATTAATTTTTTAAAAAATTATTTATTGGGGCTGGCACTGTGAAGTAGCAGGGTAAAGCTGCCACCTGCAGTGCTGGCTTCTCATATGGGTGCCGGTTCAAGTCCTGGCTGCTCTACTTCTGATCCAGCTCTCTGCTATGGCCTGGGAAAGGCAGTAAAGGATGGCTCAAGTCCTTGGGCCCCTGCATCCGTATGGGAGATCCAGAAGAAGCTCCTGGTTCCTGGTTTCAGATCAGCCCAGTTCCAGCCGTTGCGTCCATCTGGGGAGTGAACTAGCAGATGAAAGACCTCTCTCTCCTCTCTGCCTCTACCTACCTATCTGTAACTCTGCATTTCAAATAAATAAATAAATCTTTTTTAAAATGTATTTATACTTTTATTTGAGTGACAGAGCTATGGGACAAGGAAGAGAGAGAAAGAGATCATCTACCCACTGATTCACTCCTCAAATGTCCCCAATAGCCTGGAAGGGAGAGAAGCTTACTCAATAAACAATCCTATTATTGCAAGTCATTACATAAGTACACATTTAAAACACAAATTAGTAAATGATTTCAAAGACTAATCATAGGGCCTTATGAGGACAACAGATGTGGATTTTCTAACCCAGGGTCAAAGATTACCCAGGGGTGGCTGGCACCGCGGCTCACTAGGCTAATCCTCCGCCTGCGGCGCCAGCACACCGGGTTCTAGTCCCAGTCGGGGCGTCGGATTCTGTCCCGGTTGCCCCTCTTCCAGGCCAGCTCTCTGCTGTGGCCAGGGAAGTGCAGTGGAGGATGGCCCAAGTCCTTGGGCCCTGCACCCCATGGGAGACCAGGAGAAGTATCTGGCTCCTGCCATCGGATCAGTGTGGTGCGCTGGCCGCAGCGCGCCAGCCGCGGTGGCCATTGGAGGGTGAACCAACGGCAAAGGAAGACCTTTCTCTCTGTCTCTCTCTCTCACTGTCCACTCTGCCTGTCGAAAAATAAAAAAATAAAAATAAAAAAAAATAAAAAAAAGAAGAGGAGCATCAGGACTGGAATTGGCGCCCATATGGGCTGCTGGTGCCGCAGGCAGAGGCTTAGACCACTACGCCACAGTGCCAGCCCCACAGTTATTTAATACTACACATATTCTGGGTCCTGCACTGTGGCACAGCAGGTAAAGCTGCTGCCTGCAGTGCCGGCATCCCATATGGGCGCCGGTTCGAGTCCTGGCTGCTCCACTTCTGATCCAGCTCTCTGCTATGGCCTGGGAAGCAGTGGAGGATGGCCCAAGTGCTTGGGCCCCTGTACCCATGTGGGAGACTCAGAAGAAGCTCTTGGCTCCTGGCTTCGGATCGGCACAGCTCCGGCCATCACAACCATTTGAGGAGTGAACCAGTGGATGGAGGACTTTCTCTCTCTCTGCCTCTAGGTAACTCTGCCTTTCAAATAAATAAATAAGTCTTTAAAGAAATACTGGTGCTGTGGCGTAGTGGGTAAGGCTGCCGCCTGCAGTGCCAGCATCCCATATTGATGCCAGTTTGAGTCCCAGCTGCTCCGCTTCTGATCCAGCTCTCTGCTATGGCCTAGGAAAGCAGTGGAGGATGGTCCAAGTCTTTGGGCCCCTGCACCCGCATGGGAAGCCCTGGAGGAAGCTCCTGGCTTCAGATCGGTGCAGCTCTAGCTGCTGCGGCCAACTAGGGAGTGAGTGAGCCAGAGGATGTAAGACCTCTCTCTCTCAGCCTCTCCTGCTCTGTCTGTGTAACTCTTGACTTTCAAATAAATAAATATTAAAAAAAAATACTACACATTTTCCCATAAACTTTTTTTTAGAGAATTATTTATTTGAAACTCAGAGTTACACAGAGAAGGAGAAGCAGAGGGAAGGAGCGGGGGGTGGGGGGGAAGGTCTTCCATCCACTGGTTCTCTCCAATTGGTCGCAACAGCTGGAGCTGCACAGATCTGAAGCCAGGAGCCAGGAAGTTCCTCCAGGTCTTCCCACACGGGTGCAGGAGCCCAAGGACTTGAGCCATCTTCTACTGCTTTCCCAGGGCATAGTAGAGAGCTGGACTGGAAGTGGACACGAATCGGTGCCCATTTGGGATGCTGGCACTGCAGGTAGCGGCTTTACCCCTTACGCCACAGGGTTGGCCCCTTCCTATAAACTTTTTAAAGCCTTCTCATATATTGCTCTTTCGTCTCTGGGGCCCAAAGTTCAGGCTTGGGCTTATGAGCATTCTTTTGAAACTGTCAGTGTAAACAACCCTGGCCCGTTTCCTACGACATGGAGCAGGAAGGGAGGCACCTACCATGTATTTGTCTCTCCTCAGACCTTGGATCTTCTGTCCTAGGCCAATATAATTGAACAAAAAAGAAGCAAAGGATGGAATTCTCTTGAGTAATCTGTAAATGGTGATGGGATAGGGTCAGCATATAAATGATTATATTAAGGACGTAAGGAAGTGAAAGCCTCTTGTGAACTAAACTCAATGAACTAAAAAGTCAGGCTGGAGGTGAGAAAACACGAGCAGCCCAGTGTCTGTCCTTACAGGGACCCAGACCATGGAGAGCAGCAGTCAAGTCCCTCTGGTGTCATTCACATGCGGCCACACTCCAGGAATGATATTCCCTTTCTCCTGCCATTGGCTCCAGTGGGAGTTGCCTCATTAGCACCTTGAGACCCTAGAATAGGCCACAGCTGACTGAGCCAAGGCAGGTGGGGCCAATGAATCCCACCCCTAAGAGTCTGAGCTGGCTCTTCCCTAGCTTCCGTGTGAAATGAGGAAGACAGAAATCAGGTCTGCAAGGAAAAGGAAAGACAGTCACGGCTGGAAAGGCATGCAAGAGAGAGAGTCCTGAGATTTCAGAGCCTCTGGTTTGTTCCAAGACCAGCGGCCTTCCTGTCTTTGGGTTCTGAGAGACACCCTATCTTCATCTTTTTGCCTAAGTCATTTTGAGTTTTGTTGCTGTATCTCACAACCAAAAGAGTCCTGACTCATAGAAAAAGCAAGGCAGAATCCTTGCATCACCTCAGAAGTTTGAAAGGGAAGGAAAAATTTACAACAATATTTTATCCTTCTAACCTAAAACCAGATTTTTAAAAGATCAGCCGGGGCAAGGGCTGTGGCACTGCAGCTTACGCCAGTTGGGATGCCTGAATCATTCTGGAGTGTTTGATTCAAATCTCAGCTATGCTGTTTCCCATCCAGCTTCTTGCTAATATGTACCCTGGGAAACAGCATTTGATGGCTCAGGTACTTAGGCCCCTGTCACCCATGTGGGAGACCCAGATGGAGTTCCTGGCTCCTGGCTCCTGGCTTCAGCCTGGCCGAGCCTTAGTTACTATAGATATTTGGGGAGTGAACCAGCAGGTGGAAAATTTTTCTTTAATGAATTCTAGTTCCTTAAGATAAGTGATAGGGGCCGGCGCCGTGGCTCACTAGGCTAATCCTCCGCCTTGTGGCACCGGCACACCAGGTTCTAGTCCCGGTCGGGGCGTCGGATTCTGTCCCGGTTGCCCCTCTTCCAGGCCAGCTCTCTGCTGTGGCCAGGGAGTGCAGTGGAGGATGGCCCAAGTACTTGAGCCCTGCACCCCATGGGAGACCAGGATAAGCACCTGGCTCCTGCCATCAGATCAGCACGGTGCGCTGGCCGCAGCGCGCCAGCCGTGGCGGCCATTGGAGGGTGAACCAACAGCAAAAGAAAGACCTTTCTCTCTGTCTCTCTCTCTCACTGTCCACTCTGTCAAAAAAAAAAAAAAAAAAAAGATAAGTGATGGGGAGATTAGCACAAGTACAAGGAATGCAGAACAGACGGTTCTCAATCAGACCGGATATGGCTTGCAAAGACTTCACAGATTTGGCTTACAAGGTATGTTTTCAACAAGGTTTCTCAACCTCAGCAGCAGAATCACTTGGAACTAGAAAATTTTTTGCTGTGGGGGCTGTCATGTGGTCTCTACCCACTAGGTGTCAGTAGCAATCCCCCAGGAGTGACAACTAAGTTTGTCTGCAGACACTGGCAAATATCCATGGTGAGAGAGGGGTAGAGTAGGGCTGTAGTGCTTAATCAGCAGCATTCTTTTTCTCTCTATTTTTTTTAAAGATTTTATTTATTTATGAGGTGGAGTTACAGAGAGGGAGAGAGACAGAGGAAAAAGGTCTTCCATCCGCTGGTTCACTCCCCAAATGGCCACAATGGCCAGCACTGGGCCAATCTGAAGCCAGGAGCCAGAAGCTTCTTCTGAGTCTCCCACATAGGTACGGGACCCAAGGACTCAGACCATCTTCCACTGCTTTCCCAGGCCATTAACAGCTGAACTGGAAGAGGAGCAGCTGGTTCTAGAATAGTTGCTCATATGGGATACTGGCACTGCAGGCGGAGGCTTAGCCTACTATACCATAGTGTTGGCCCAGCTGCATTCTTTATGGGCACTGGTTCCAGTCCCCACTTCTGATCCAGCTCCCTGCTAATGCGCCTGAGAAAGCAGCAGGAGATGGCCCAACTACCACATCCACATGGGAGATCCAGACAAAGTTTGGCCTGTCCCAGCTCTAGCCACAGCAGTCATCTTGGGAGTAAACCAACAGATGCAAGGCCTCTCTCTCTTTCCATCTTTCCCTCTCTCTGTTACTTTGTCTTTCAAATAAATAAATATTTATTAAAAATATCCTCTGGGGGAGAAAAAGTGGTCCTGGCTGAGAAAAGGCATTAGAGTCAGAGCAGGGCCTGGGCCTTTTGGAGCAAATAAAATAACATGAAACATAACTAGAAAACAGCACAGGGTTTGTGTTAGAGATGTATTGAAAGATGAAGATAGGGGCTGGCGTTGTGGCATAGTGGATAAAGCCGCTGCCTGCAGTGCCGGCATATCATATGGCTGCTGGTTCGAGTCCTGGTTGCTCCACTTCTGATCCAGCTCTCTGCTATGGCCTGGGAAAGTAGTGGAAGATGGCCCAAGGACTTGGGCCATACCCACGTGGGATACCCGGAAGAAGCTCCTGGCTTCCGACTGGCAGGTGCTCCAGCTGTTGCGGTCAATTGGGGAGTGAACCAGTGGACAGAGGACCTCTCTCTGCTTCTCCTTCTCTCCTCTCTCTGTGTAACTCTGACTTTCAAATAAATAAATAAATAAATCTTCAAAAAAAAAAAAAAAAAAAAAAGATGAAGACAAAGAAGGCAGGAGTCCAGCACTAAGGGCCCTGGTGTAGTAGGCTAGTTAGAATTATACTAGGCGCTGTGGTGTAGTAGGCTAAGCCTCTGCCTGCGGTGCTGGCATCCCATATGGACACCAGTTCATGTCCTGGCTGCTCCTCTTCCAATTCAGCTCCCTGCTAATGGCCTGGGAAAGCAGCAGAAGATGCCTCAAGTGCTTGGGACCCTGCACCCATGTGGAGAGTCCAGGAAGAAGCTCCTGGCTCTTGGCCTCAGATTGGCTCAACTCCAGCCATTGTGGCCATTTGGGGAATGAACCAACGTATGGAAGACCTTTCTCTCTGTCTCTTTCTCTGTCTGTAACTCTGCCTCTCAAATAAATAAATAAACATTTTTTAAAAATAAAAAAGAATTAGCCTAAAAGGGGCTGGCATTGTGGCATAGTGGATTAAACCGCCGCCTGAGGTGCTGGCATCCCATATGGGTACCAGTTTGCTGCTCCACTTCTGATCTAGCTCCCTGCTAATGTGCCTGGGAAAGCAGGGGATGATGGCTCAAGTGCTTGGACACCTGTGCCCACAAGGGAGACCTGGAAGAAATTCCTGGCACTGCGAAGCCTGAGGCATCATTTTTATCTTTTTTTTTTTTTTTAAATTTTATTTATTTGAAAGGCAGAGTCAGAGAGAGAAGAAGAGACAGAGAAAGAGATCTTCCATCCAGTGGTTCACTTCCCTAATGGCCACAATAGCCAGGGCTGGGCCAAGCCAAGCAGGAGCCAGGAGTTTCATCCAGGTCTCCCACATGGGTACAGGGACCCAAGGACCTGGGCCCATCTTCCACTGCTTTCCCAGGTGCATCAGCAGAGACCTGGATCAGAAGTGGAACAGCCAGGACTCGAATCAGGCCTCATATGGGATGCCAGCTTAACCCAGCACACCACAATGTCGGCCCTGTGACTTTTTTATGGATGTCAGTTTGTACTTTTTTCTTTTTTTCTTAAGATTTATTTATTGTTTGGAAGGCAAAGTTGAGGGGAGAGAAAGACACAGAGAGAGATCTTCCATTCACTGGTTCACCCCCCAAATAGTTCACTCCCCAGATGGCTGCAACGGCCAGAGCTGGGCCAATCTGAAGCTAGGAGCCTCTTCCGGGTCTCCCCTGTGGGTGCTGGGGCCCAAGCATTTGAACCATCTTCTGCTGTTTTCCCAAGCGTTAGCAGGGAGAGGGATCATAAGTGGAGCAACTCTAACCAGAGTCCACATGGGATGTCAGTACTACAGACAGCGGCGCCGGCCACCAGTTTGTATGTTTTAATTTTTTGACAATTTCAGACTTACAAAAAAGTTGTGAGAATAGTGCAAAGAATTTACATACCCTTCATTTACATTTCCCAAACGTTAAGACTGTACCACATTTATTATATAATTCTTTCTACATATACAACCAGATGGATTTTTTAAAAGTTTTTCTAAAAAACTCAGAGTAAATTTCAGACTTTACACTTTTATCCTTCTGTTGGTTCACTCCCCAAATGACTGCCTCGGCCAGAGCTGCGCTGATCTGAAGCCAAGAGCTAGGTGCTTCTTCCTGGTCTCCCACGCGGGTGCAGGTGCCCAAGCACTTGGACCATCCTCCACTGCCCCCCCGGGCCACAGCAGAGAGCTGGACTGGAAGAGGAGCAACTGGGACAGAACCCGGTGCCCATATAGGATGCCGGCGCCACAGGCGGAGGATTAACCAAGTGAGCCATGGCGCCGACCCCGTCATCCAGATTTTAAAAACTCCTTTAATCTGAAAGTCTTTCTGCCTTTCATGACCTTGACATGCTTTAAGAACACAGACCACTTAAATGACAATGTACCTCAATTTTCGTTCGCCAAATGACTCTTCATGATTAAAGTGAAGTTTTCATTTTGGGGCAAAAACACCACAGTAATGATGCCGGGTTCCTACTGCGTCCCATCAGGGGCACGTGGTACTGCTCTGTATCGTCACTGGTGATGGGGATGTTAACCCTCTGGTTAAGTGTTGTCTCCCAACTTTCTCTCCTGTAGAGTTACTAGCTTTCCTTTGTAATTAGTAAGAATCTTGTGGGGAGACTTTGAGCATGTACATCTGCAGAATTTTAAGCAAGAAACTGACATGATCAGTTTTCTGTTTTACACAAGTGAGTCTAACAGCTCTGTAGAAAAAAAAAAGAAAAAACAAGAAGGGAAGATGAAAGGAAGTGGGACCTTTTACAAAATTGT